ATCTTAGCTGTAGAGGGCAGTGTCACTGGCCCTCATATGTGGGATCCGAACCGGGGCCCTCTGGCGTCCCAAGCCAGCTCTTAACCACCGCGCCACTCGGCTGGCCCTAGTTTATGTGAATTTTAACTACCAATTTTACAGTATTAGAAATTAAAAGAGAAAATTTGAAGTGTATATTTATAAAGATGAACAATAATAAACCCAGACTATAACATAAATTGCCTATTTTTTATATAAAAAAATAACTATTTTCCAAAACAAAAAATAAATCAGGGAGAAGAGTGGCATCGTTTCACGTTCACACACACACAGTGTGGCTGTGTCACTCTCGATATAAAGCCTAGTTGCTGGCATGGCTCTGCCACTCACCCTGTGCCCTCCCCATTGAGCTCAGCACACATGCACCCTGTATTTCTGCGGCTCCCTGAGCTGCCCCCCCCACCACCACACTCACATCCCCCGTGCTGGCTCCCGGTCTGCTCATGCTTCATCCCCTTGCTGCACAAACGCCTGTACAGTGATGAGCTCTCCCTTGTCTGCACAGCTGCAGCCCCGGCGTTGTGCCGCTTCACTTCCCTGGAGATTTCACGAGTGTCAGTTGACTCCTACGTCCCCTCCGTCACCCTTTTGGAAGTACAACGTTGTAATTTCTTATTAACGACTGGTAGGCTACTTACCTGGCTCCCCGGGATATCATTTATTTTGTTTGGTTAAATGCATAGTTACTGGGACTGCTGTTTGAAACACACCCACTCTGTGAACATTTTCCTCTACATTCAGACCAGTTCCTTTTGCTTTTCTCATTCCAGCGCTTGACCACGTCCCATCCTGGCGAGCAGAGGGAGACCGTGCTACAAGCTTACATCAGCAACGACCTCTTGGACTGTCATAACCACAGCCAGGTCAGTGAGAGATGGGCCAGGGCCCTCATTTCTGGGGACTGGTCTTAGCAGATGGGGAGGCTTCCATTTCTCTGTGTATCTTCAGCCTGGCGACCGGATGTCAGCCTTGTGCCTCTGTTAGCTACTGAGATCTGCCCTTCACCCTGGACGTTGCCCACTTTTCACTTCTAATAAAGAGTCCTAAACAAGTTAGAACTGTTTGACTCTACTCTGGAGCGCCTTTCAGCCATTTTTCCTTTGCTCAAATTCCCAAATCTTTCCCTCACCCCTTTGTTTATCATGAGTCCTGAAAACGCAGCATCACGTATGACGGGCGAGGTAGGTAAGCAAATTCCGTTTGTTTTTTTTTTCATGTAGGCCTGCCTCAGAATGTGTCTTTTACACTGTATTTGCATATAGCTTTGGACCGGACAGGTCTAGTGGGGNCCCCCCCAGGCTTCAACCATGTTAAGAGCCTCCTTGGCACCCGTGTAAGTAATTGCACTTGGGGACTGGTATTGTGGAGAATAGCTATGGGTTAGACTGGAATTCAGAGTAACTTTAATAAACATTCATCTTAACAGCCCAGTTTAGAGAAATGCCTTTGATTAGCTAGAGGTCCATGTGGATACTAAAGGAAATACCAATAATTATAAGTAATATTGTTAAACTAAAAGTATATTTTAATGTTAATTTTATTTATTTTGGTGAGGTAGCATCAAATGGAAAACATTGTTAAATAGTTCCTATGAACTTCTCTGGAAATGAATTTAATCTACTGTCTGAGGGCAGTCAGCAAAGCGTTGCTGTGTCTGAATTTTATGTTCTCTGCTGGCTCGCACTGCGGCCAGGGCACAGGGCAGCTTTGTGTATGCCTGAGCATTTCTATCCAGATCCATCAGGGTGTCCTCACGGGGGTGTCCGATGCACACAGGCTTCATCAGGCACGTGTGTTGCAGTAGCAAGGACGTTGAGAACCTTTGGCATGGACACTGGGACTAGGGTGGCTTCTAGTGGCCCTCTGAGCCAGTTCTGGGTGGGGGGCTGCTGTGAGATCCCTAAGGCGCCTGAGATAGACACAGCGTTCCTCCTCCCCCTGTCCCACCTGAGTCTGACATTGACCCTGCACTTTGTTCTTTTCGGATGGTGGCTGTGTAATGTAGTGCTTATGAGCACAGACTGCTGAGGTTAAAATCCCACCTCTGCCACCAGCTCTGTGACCTCGGACTTCCTCACTTGTAAGCCGAGAATAATGATAGTAACTGTATTACAGGATTGTTTGCAGGATAAAAATGAGTTAATACATATAAAGCACTTAGTACACTGCCAGGAACTTAAACTCTCTGGGTGTTTGCTAATGTTATTCCCAGTGATAGAAGAGGCAAGGTCACCTGCAGGGGATTAAGGGGGGTAGTGAGTGGAGGGGGTTAGGCGGACAAAGGAGAAGGTAAGACCCAGTCTTCTTGGACAGTGGGGAGTGGCTGGACCACAGAAATGCGGATGTTGAGCAACTTAGTTGGCAATAAATTTAGTTGGTTATTTTGCCATTATTGGCAAGCAAATATGTCCCCAATATGACAGCGTTTCTCCCCTCCAATAGAAGCACCCCAGCTATAGAACATCATCAAACTGGGCTTTATAAGTGGAACTTTTTTGGTCTAAAACAAGAGCCTGTTTAAATTAAAAACTTTTTTTTTTGTTGCAAAAATAGTACAAAGAATTTCCCTATACCCTTCACCCAGATTCCCCAGTGTTAATATTTTACGCAATCCCAATATAGTTATCAAGATCAGAAAACTAACGCTGATACAGGATCATCTAATCTACAGGCCTCATCCCCGTTTTGCCAGCTGTTCTGTGTGTCCTTCGCCTGGTCTAGCATTCAGTCCAGGCTCACGCGTTGATTTAGTTGTCGTGTGTTTGTTTCCTTTCATTTGAAATCATTCTTCACTCTTTGTTTTTCATGGCCTTGACACTTTTGGAGAATACTGGCCAGTTATTTATAATTAGAATTTTAAAAGTATCTGTATTCGTTTTTAAACTCACAATAGTGTCTGCCTCCGGAAAAGAAAGTGTAAGAATAATCAGTGTGCCCACATACGTGGGTTTACTGTTTGGTGTATAAAACAGAAGATGCCCACATAGGAACGGGCACTGAGGCCGCATTTGTTGTCCTCTTTTCTGGTCTATTTTTTCAGGCCCTATAAGAGGATTTCATTTTGTCTTTTAAAAACTAATATTTAAAAAATTAGCATGCAATTTTTTTCCTATAATGTAATACATGCTCATTATAGAAACTTGAATGCTATAGAAACACGAAGAAGAAAATTTAAGTACCTGAAATCCTACCTCCCAGAGGTATTATCTCAGTGTCCATTTCACCTTTAAAAACAAATGGAACCCTCCGTCTTTCGTCTTTTCACCCAATTCTCCATGAATTCCCATTTACTATTGTGCAGGGGGTATTAATAATCCCTTCACAGTATTAGAAGAATCATATTTTTGTTTTGTTTTTTAATTTTGAAACAATCATAAATTCACAGGAAGTCGAGTTCCCCAGCGTCCCCAATGGTGACATCTTATACGACTGTAGAACAATATCAAAATGGAGAAATTAACATTAACATACAGAAATTAACATACAGCACTATTAACTAGACCACAGACCTCATTCCATTTTTATCAGTTTTTCCGTACATCCCAGTGTCCTCCTGTTCAACAAAACAATCAAACAAAATGTGAAGACACTTGTTTTGGTGACAGGGAGTCTGAGTGGTTCCTTTTGTTTCCTGCCGACCAAGGCAGGGGTTGGGCCATTCTACGCTGTGTAGATAGATCTCTGAACAGAGGCCTCTCTTAATTGAAACCTGAATTCCCCTGAGGTCTTTGACTTGGAGTCCTCTTGTGGAGGGTTTGCAAATTGTCCTACTTACTACCTGTCTCACAGGTGTGTCCCCCACGCCTTCTGCCCCCACTTCTGCCTCCTTGGAGGGTCGACTGTGCACCTACATTTGTTTCTTGACCCCTATTCTGTCCTCATGTTCTCCCAGTTCAGTCCCTCAGGCCTGACAGGGACAGCGGCTTCAGGTTTTTAGGTAGAACTGTTGGGGCCTGCTGACGCTAGCAGCTTTGGGCTTTGCTCAGGATTCTAACGAGAACTGGGGCGGAAAGTTACGATGCCTCCAAGGTGATACTTCATCTCCGTGGTATGGAGCCTGATGTGAACACAGTGGTTTCTGATCCTGTTTAGGCACGGACTCCTCGTTTTAGGGAAAATGTTTTCACAGAACCCTAGCACGTACAACAGAAAAGGCAGAGCTGAGCTAGTTAGGACTGGGATGGGGAGCCTGGGACCTAGCCCGCTCTGTGGAGGCCTGGAGTTAATTCTAGGAGCACAGAGAAAACAACTGGGCCACTGCTGGTCCCTGGTGTCACAGCCTCTCTAGGTTGGGTGTTGTCATACTCTGGAGGTATAATGAACATGCCCTTTTGCCCTTTGCTTTTCTCTTTGAACTTGTGTTGCTGAGTAGGAAATTGAAGGATGTCCCATTACTGCCCTCCTTGGATTATGAGAAACTGAAGAAGGATTTGATTTGGGGCAGCGACCGCTTGAAAGCCTTCTTGTTGCAGGCTCTGCGCTGGGTATGTGCCTTTCCCTTGAAGTTAAGAAAAAAACAAAGGCCGTGCTGATTTACTTGGCAGGCCACCTTGCTCGTTTCTTAACCCGTCTACTAAAAACCTTTCTTCCTGCTGCTTGCTGACACCAAGGGCTAAAGTTAAAAACAACTTCTGCAGACAGCTGTGGCGTCTTTTAAAAACTCCTGTATTAACATCACCATTGCCATTGCCTTCCCTCGGTAACTTCACATAAGCAGTTTCAAGGCTCAGGAGATTCCCCGGGCACCTGTCCTTTCCTGGTCCTGAGCCACACTCACGGCTTGTGGGGTTGGCGTGTTAGAACACAGAGTCATTCTCACTGCTCCTCCACAAAGCCCTCTGTGCTCAGGCGTTACCATGCAGCCTCGAGCCCACAGCAGGGAAAAAACGGATGAACAAACCTTTAAGAGAAATGAAGTCTATTCTAAATTGTAGCATTTCTCCTCAGTCTTCATGGTTAAGTCAGTGGTTCTTAAGCTTTTGATCTCAGACCTCTTTACTCTCAAACGTTACTGA